GAAAATATTAGGAAGGAGTTTCTTGAAGGTTCGGAGGTATATTTAGCGAAATGCAAAGAATTCGAAAACACAAGTAAACTTCTTTGAAATTTAAAAACACTTCAGTCGAGAGTAAACAGCGTGATGTAGAAGCAATGCAAAAACGAATAATTCTATTAGGCGATGAAAACTAATGCTTAGTGAGTTTCATTTCAAAAAGCTGATGTTTGTAGCAAGAAGAACTTCTTCTTTTTGATCGGAAACATCAAGATGAAATTATCCAACTGCAGAGGAGGATCGATGGACTAAATAGTGAAAAAAGTATGGTACATTTCGTATCAGGTTATCAGACGACTAGTTGAGTTAAAAGAGACAGAAACAAACATTAAATATAGCAATGAATAGTATAGATCGCTCATCAAAAATCTGGAAAACACTTTAGAGGACGAAAGGGTAGGAAGGTAAATAAAAAAGGAAAAAGATTTAGGCAATGAGATCAAACGCTGCTAAGCTATCGGAGACCAAAGAAAAAGTAGATGAAGATCTAGTGTGTCTGCTTAATGAACACCAGCAGAAATTCAGGTTGGGATTACAGTTCTTGGATGCCTCAAATCAAAACCTAAATTATCTCTCTGACCAGGTGGACAAGTCACGATTTCAAGTTAAGTCTATGATCGATAAAATAAGCAATATGATTAAAAGCTTTTCAGTATTCCTCGAAAACCAAAATTTTACGAATGAAGATATATTTAATATATTAAGGATAGTGAAGGGGAAAGTCGTTGAGTTGAAGAAAAAATTATACAACAGGTAATGAATCAAACGAAGTTGTTACATACTTAGATCACTGGTTATGCGTGATTTTGAATGGAATTTATGTTACACATATGGCAATTTCAAATTTAATATAATATTTCTGGCAGCTGATTTAATGATGAAAAGTCAGCTCTTAAGTATTGATCGTGAAAACTCGGTAAAAAATTAAAGTATTTCATAAAAACAATATTAGGTCATTCTGAAAAGAAGGGTCGAGGAACTAGGAAAGAAAACTGAATGCGAGTACAAAAGGCTAAATAAGATGAGAGACGGTCTTGAAAAATGTCAGATATTTAATCGAAATTGCAGGCAACTGTTGATCAAAAATTTTTTCATACGCTATGAAAGCTTGATAACGATGAAGCGCATTCGAAACTGACGTCAGGGAAACAGAAGTACGCTGAAGCCCATGGGAATCATTTAAAGTCAGAGGCCTTAATAAAACCTCTACAAGTAACAAGTTTTTTACACCGTGTTTTACTCACAGGAACAAATGAAAATCATTGAAGAAGAAGTGAAAATAGTGAAAACAAAGGTCTTTGAAGTCAAGAAAGAACTACAAGAGGGGAAGTATTTTTTAAAAGTCGGTTTACATGCTTATAGGGCTAATTTTTCAAAATTAAAAGATACGCTGAAGGCCTGCGAAATCAGCTATAATGAACTGAAGTTGAGTGGCAGGGAAAACCGGAGAGCTTCAAACCTGGCACATTCTGAAATCAAGGTGAATATGTATAGATATTTTTTGATAGCCATAAGTTATTTTAAATTAATTTTCAGACTTCTATTCTATATACACGAATCCATTTATGATTTCATTGTCGCCACTTTGATTACTTAGCGCATAAAAGAAATGCAATATAGAGAAGGTAAATCCAGTTTATGTTTTTTTGAGAATGTATCAGTAGCTACTTAGAATAAGATACTGGTGGATCCATTAAATAGACTTAACTGATAATTGATATGGTAATGATTCAACTCTGCTAATATAACTCATTTCATTCGTACTGTAAACATGTTAATCAGTGAATCAACATGAGAATACTTCAGACTATGCTGAGCACTGTGCTAAGAAGCCATTTCCGTTCGAAATCGAATAGAAAAGTAAATTGTTCGCCAAGAAGATATGGAATGCAGTTATGAGACTAAGGCTTGGCAGAAACTCGGCTAACTGGACCAGAATCGAAGTCTTTACAAACGTGACAGCACCAATATGTTTCTACCGTTATTCTCAGCAGATAATGGTGTGAAAAATGATTGACTAACCAGAAGTGGCTTTTTATCAGTTGAAAATAGAAAGCTGAGTGGATAAAAATAACTCTTTGCAATTAGTATTTCTTACTTGTATACGTATACAAATAAGTGGGGAAAATAAACAAGCGGCTTTAAAATATCCTGAAGGTGATAAATACACATTGCTATTATCTGACGGAATAACTGGATTGTCAGGGATGAAGGTTTATGCTCCTTAGTTCTTATTCTATGGCGTTGTCAGACGAAACGACCCTCTAAGTAACTAAAACTTAATTGTTCCTTCTACAGATATAGTTAATAATTCATCTTGGAAATTGTTACACTTACCAGAGAAAATAAGCAGCGACAGTCATTGATAAATTGCGAATCTGACTTGGATAGGCTTTCTGATAGGCGGGTCGGATAGCTAGTAGAAGACACGAGTACATTTTTTCAAGACACATGTACGCTTTATTGTAATTACATCAATTCCTTTTTATTATTGTCAGAAGAACTTTTCTCAGGAATTTGTATTTTTATTATTCTGTGTTTATCTCAGATAGCTTGTTTAATAAAACATGAAGACAGTAGCCAAGAAACAACCACACGGTGTAAGACATCCAAAGAGCTTGAAAGCCATATCGTTGAGGTTGTCAGAATTTACATTGGTTTTTAGATAAATAACGTTCATTTCGAAGTGACTCCTTCACAAAATATCGATGCTTTTATAGGATCATTGCGGCATCCGTTTTTCTTTTAATAGGGTAATACTTCTATTAACACTGTATATCATACTGAACGGCAGTTGAGTATTCATAATACATGTCCACTCAGTTCGACCAGGGTAACCTGACCGATATATATGACTTGTGTTTCTTGCTAAAATTTATGCTTATAATGCTAGCACGTGGTTATGTGATTCCACCAAACAAAAGCAGTGTCATAAAGACGAGTAATCTTTGAGATTTGCCGTATCTTCAGCACCCACTCCCTACACATAAAGAATGATGGACGGCAATTCTAAACTAGGTAGTCTCTATTTAACAGACAGATGCCTGTCTTACTGACAAAATAAGTGATCTCAGTTAGGAGATACCCAGTAAGAGTTTGTCTTCACACTGCATACCTGAAGATACTGGGGTCACTTGGAAGGCTGTAGTATGAAGTAGTCATCATATCTTATTTGTACACTGTCAATTTTTGCATTATTTGAGAATAAAAGTCGATGCTACATGATCTCTTTCAGCTAACATGTATAAAGCAAGTGTCAAGTAGATAAAATTATTCGCTAACTCTTGACAGAAAACCTAATATTCTCTTGTACTATAAACAAATAAAGTACGCATCCCCCATCTGGTCTTTGAGAAAATCATATAATTTTTAGATGGTAGTACATCATATTATCCATCAGATTAGAAATGTAATGTTCGGAGTGGAACGTGTTTACACAGACATAAGTCATTGAGGAGAAATAGTTTTGGAAGTAATAATGCACTAAAGTCTACTGTGATACCTTATATTCATGGGTACTAAACAAAAGAAGTAGAAGATGGGGATGTCACTTTTGTCTACAACTGCTCGTTGGGGATGTCCATTGCCAACATTCTTATTTAATCTCATTTCATATACTGGTAGTTTTTGCTCTGATAGACTCCGATATTTCAAAGTATGCCTGGAGGTTGGACTTGTTATTCTCCAGTGTGTAGATGATATTGTCCTTTTAGGTGAATACTATGTCGGAATACAGTCTTTTGAACACCTGGGATAAAAACTCTATCTGTGTTTGCATGAGTTTTGTCCATGTCAAATGACGGATTGCGATAGAGGACTATTCTGCAATGAATCCTTATTTAAATAGAAGGAGTAATATTGCTGGGTTTTTTGAACACTCCACTTATTTATTATGCCGTATCAGCCCCAATGAACTGACTGCTGAAGAAATCCCAGCAAGGATAAAGAAGGATAGTTTGGAACCTGTCAACTTGTATTATCTCACATCCAGAGTGATATCTGATCACAGTCACCAATGGATATGTATGCTGCTCGGCACTTCGATTCGTCCTATTTTACGGCGGTTATACTTGGTCATCAAGATTAACGTCTTTTGATCGTCTTTGCCTCTGTTCAGTCTTTAGTGTTAGGTGGAGGAAAGTGGTTATTAACAGTGAGGTTACGGCTGCAATTCCAGGTAAACAAAGGAATTAAATCGAAGAGGTTACGAGACCCTATCGACTGTGTTTGATCGTGCCTGTAAAAATGTCACGCGTTTCATGTAAATCTACTTGTCTATACGGAATATAAATTAACATGTGTTTCGCATGACGAGCCATTAGGTTTGACACGCAATATCGGCTAAAGTGCTACAAAGCTGGAGAACATTTAGGTGTTGTTAGACGAAAACACAATACCAATCCACAAAGTTTTTGACCCTTGGTTTGAGACACTTAAGGAGATGTAGACTATCTGACTGGGATGCTATGAGACTGGATCAGATGTATTTACTCGTTGGAACCTTCCAGATTCTGAAAATTCCTATTAGCCTTCATCTAATTACCCCTTCTCGAGTACACTTTCGTCGATCATATCTTCACCCTACTTGGTTTTCTACTTTCATGTGATCTTTCTCGAAGTGTTACAACTCGTGCCACTAATTTTTGTGCCAGTCTCTGCGTTGATGTTGTTCGGTTAACTATTTACCACTTACACGTATGCTGAGTACAAGTTTTCTTTTTCTCATTGAAATTTAATAGTATTTTCGTATAATATGTAATTATAAGAAAGAGAAGAACAACAAAAAGAATTAAAAAATCAATTGATAGTTCTCAACCAAGAAAAAGAGAAGGATATTTTGAAACAAATACAGTTGTCTCATGTTATAAATAATCTCACAATGCAACTGGAATATTCACAACAAGAAGTCCAACAGCAAAAGTTAGTAGGAAAATCCATTCAATAGGAAAATCAAAGACCAGAAACTATGAAAGTTCAGTTACAGAAACAAACTGATGACATGACCAATGAGATATTGTCTTTAATGGAAAAGTTGAATCAAAAAGACCTTGAACTGAAGCAAAAACAGGATGATATCGACAATTTAAAGAAAATAATTGATCTTAAAACCATCAAGAGCACAAAAAGTAATAAAAGGGCGGTAGGTTCTAATTAAAACACAATATTTGCTCGAAGGATAAGGAATTGAGTGAATCACTGAATCAAATTGAGAAGCTTAGAAAACAAAAAAGGAATCGAATCAAGATAAGGTATTTTCAGACTGGGTTTCTAGCAATTTTCCCCTTTTGATCAATTGATATTCACACAAAAATAATCAATTCAGAACGGTTTGTTGTATGAAGGAAAAAGGTCTATTTGGTAAATTTAGATCAAACTGACATAAACTGTTATTTACAAGCCAAATTAAGGAAAACATATCTTTTGATGGTTTTCAAGTTCCGTTAGAGTTACAAAGCGGACATTGCAGTTTCTACAACAAAGAAACGCATTGTGATGTTTCTTAAGGCAATGTTGCTTTAATGTAGAATGTTGAGCTGCTCTGTAAGTGCACAGAGTACAAGCAAATGGTTTTTCCCCTGTGTGTTTTCGGAAATGGGTCTTCAGGTGACTTTTCTCGACAGTCTGATACGAACAAACTGAACACTTGAATGGTTTGTTTTTTGTATGAGTTGACATAACATGTTTCTGTAAGTGAACCTTTTGAGAGAACTCTCTCTGACAGTATTCACAAACAAAATTTAATAAAGGCTTACGTTCAGTGGAAGCAGGGGTTGTCTGGGCACATAAATTTATTTGACTGCAAACTGAGGTGGTATCTGGGTTTGAATCATCTGGAGGCTTTAGTGAGTTATCATCGAATACTTGTTCCGTCTCACAATCCGACTCTTGAGAAAACAAAATTGGGCACGAAGACATTTGGGTGCATGGAGAACTTCCATCAACAAGACAACAGGTTTTACGAACAACCGAAGTAGTAGAAATACCCGGAGCGATTGAAGTGTAGCCAGTTGACGTAGAACTTAAGACAGATGGGACTTGACTCACTGACTCACATGGAGCTGAGTTTATGTCATTTGAATTCACAGAGTTATAGCTACTTTTGTCATCAGCAACCATAAAAGATGAACTCGTTGTGTCTGAGACAGACATCACTTCGTGTGGGAAACTGTTAGGGTTGTTGATCATACTTGATGTATGTTTCATAATAGATATTCCATGTGCGCATTCAACATGTGCAATAAGATCCAATGGCGAAATGTAACATTCATCACAATGAGAACATTCCAAAAATAACTCATTTCCAAAACTCAGCCTTGAACAGCCATCTGATTTATGTTGTATAAATTGATCTATAGCACATAGACGAAAAATTCTAGCACACGTACCACAGAACAAGGAGTCAAACATCGTCTCGTGTAAAAATGAGTTTATTTGAAAAGCACGAGATCATACATTTTCAATTAGCTTTTCTGATCAATCATATTATAATTACACTTTGGACTATAAAAAACACACTGAAAATTAAGCAATGTTATTGATTTTAGCTACACGTGTAGAATGACAAACGAAAAATTTCCAATAGAATGCGAGATAGCAAAACATACTGAGAGAAAGGTCATATAAAAATTAAAATGACCTGCAAGCATCGAGATTAATTATAAATATTTTTTCAACTATGTGGATTTAAATTTTAACTAATCGTATGAGTGTAGCTGTGTGGACATTTACATTGTTAACATAAAATGTCATTTGCATCTAGTTAAAAGATACATCTAAATACAACGTTTAGTACGTTCAAGTGAAGACATGTGAACACCGAGCTGTTTTAAACAGTCGAAGCTATTTATTTCCGAGAAAGTAACTTGTTCATACATCACATCAGAGCAGTTCAGAACATAGATACCAACTTAGATGGCATTTTACAGACACAGGTGTCTGTCTACAAGAAGCGGTGAACGAATGTACTGTTCACACGTGAAATTTACAGTTTGTGTAAGATAAACCTGAGTATGAATAATGATTGCAGAAGTATTTGTAAAGTTTGAAAATAAATAAAGTCGACAGAGTAAATAGGTAAAAGGAGATCTAATGGTCATATTTTAGACGTCAGATTCGCAGAAAGAAGACTACAAGACAATGAGGAATCAGATTTACATGCAGTCGCATTACACAACATCAAAAGTAAGAACAAAATAAATAATGCAGAGTTAAGACGACGGGTAAACAGTTACAAATAATCACAGGATCATTTTTCACAGGTAGACCCAAATGAAACCATGTTACAGAATATATCCGAAAGGGAACTACTTCATTTAATTATCTACCAGAAACTATCACCATGGGCATTTCAGACAAATCGACTAGAATACCGTACTGATTTTGTTAAAGATCTTCCCACTCAAATGGCCAAGAAAGATATTGAAACGTCGAGGAAATATATCAGAATAACTTGTAGTAGTTTTACTGAATAACGACACGACCAAGATGATTTTTCACAATAGAAAACTAGCCATCTGACAGTAAGCACGATATAGCAACGATACGCGACTGCTAAACCTGAAGGATTCAGAATATGAATTTCTAAGCCCACTTTTAAGAAAATCTGACTGATACCAAAATTATATACAGTAGCTAGTCACAGAATTTATTAAAATCACACATGTAGATTTATTGCAAAGTACAGTTCTTCAGATAATTCTTACTTTCTAAAAGAAATAACAAAGTGAGAGCAAATTATGGAATTCATTAGCAATAACTACACAGTTTATCACAGGAAGAATTCATTTATTTCCTGCAAGTTTTAACCACCGAATGAGACTTTTCCGAAATATAGAAGGGGATTCCGAAGAAACAAGCAGTGAGAGAGCGGGAAATCAAAAGCTACAAACGAAAACAGCAGACCAAGTAAGTAAATTACTTTGTGCTACTAAACCACTGTTTAGGAAAGAGAATTGAAGGAGTCATGTGTTGAAAAAGAAAGACTACGTGGGGAAATAAGGAGGATGAAACAAAAACATGCGAAACAGGAAACAATCCTGGCTGAAAACAGTAAAGAATTGATGGAACTCCGAGCTATTGAAAAGAATACTGAGAATTTCAGCACCAGATTTACTCGAACTCTCCGCCAATTAGTACTCAATTACGAGAAGAAACTTTTGAGAAAGTAACTCCAAACCACCTGCCTCTTCTCTAAAACTAGGCGGTCTGGTAAGGATGGGTGTTGTGTGACCTAAACTCTTACTTCAGAGTATTAGTGGAGCGTCGGCTACGACACCAAACAGCATATTAAGGCAACCATGTCCATCAAGCAAGCGTAATACCGTTTTCTTTGCATCTGTTACATATATTTTTTTTATTCCTTAACTTTCCCGGTGAAACACAGGGCTTCAAGCTAGATCTTTGAAGTTCCTGTAGCAGTGGTATTTACTTTTAGAGGATGGGGTTGGTAGCCAATTGCCCAACCTTCCCTCTTTACCAGTCTTACTTCTAGCTTAGCGAGGTAAAGGAGTGCGTCGGTTGGAGATCGAACTACGAACTACTTGTGCGGTTGTCGAGCATTCTACCGCTGTGCCACCGACGCACATCCGTTAAGTATGAAGGTTCTGGTTCTAAGATACAGGCTGATCGAAAAGCTTCAGACGATAGAGATGAAGAAAATGAACTCATACCTGAGGTGGAGATAAGTCCATCTCTTATGAATACTCCTAACAATAGTCAGTTACAGACACTTGAGTTAGTAAGTTTTACCTGCCTTGTATCACCTACATTTACGTTACTAATACTCACTAATGTAGATAATAATCTTAAATGATTACAGGTTTGGATTTGTAGAACAAAATCAGTTTTTCAGGACACTGAAGAAAGAGAATTAAGCACAGTACAAACACAAAATTGCAGTAATTAACTGTCAATGGAACGATGGAACAGTTGTTAGTCTTGTTCGGTCTACAGAAGAAATTTGTATGAATTATGCACCTACGAATAGATTACTACTAAACTATACTGCTAAACCCATGTTTAGATTTTATGTTGGTCCCATCACCACCAATGCTTGTCTGCCAATCATTAAGATGAGATTGGAAGATACTTAATGGCAGCCAAATTAAGAAAATACAACAATCTATTATATGTCATCTTGAGCTTCGCAATATACATAACTAAAGAATTAGAAATAATCTGAACCGAAGTTATAACACGATAGTATAGATGCATTTTAACTCTCAATTAGTAGTAGTAGTAGCACATTTTTCGACTCATTTTATTATGTTGTGTTTAAAGTCATTTAATTTTATTTAGGTTTTTCCTCGTTTTATTATTAACGCTAGTTCAATGTTCATATGTTAGGAATAGTAATATGGGTCTCTACAGAGAACTGTAGGCATTATTTTGATAGTGTTCCGTTAATAATTCGATCGGCAAAACATTCTTTCAGGTTAAAAAATATGCGCAGGACGCCAAGAACACATGGTCACGAAATTAACCAGGAAAAGAAATCGTTGATTCGATCGCAAACAGGTATTTGGTTCTGAAACTGAATCTTGACGGCTGATAAAAATAATGCCATTCAATAAATAATACACAATTACGTTTTTTCAGTTTTGCAACAGACAAGTTTATTTAAATTACAAATTGTTATCATGTTACAATAAATGTCATTAATTACGTTATATGCATGTGTTTACGTTTTCCAAAGTTTTGAAATAAACGAATTTGCTTCAAGTACAAATTGTCATTATTCTACACGGATATCAAGCCATATAGGAGCGTGATCACTGACAAAACCGTTAGCCCACCTGTTTCCTCTGGTATCAAAGGATGTCTCAGTCCTCTTACAATTACACCTGAATCACCTGTCCAGCAAGCACCGGAGTCAGAAGTCAAAGATAAGTCGGCAGAAAGCCATGCGTTGTCATATGCCTTGATATTAGTAGATCCACCTTTGGAACGACTTACAGATGTTCGCTGTTCACCGTCTAGAACTGGCCACAATCCATGATCATACAGAGCACGGTAAACTTCAAGGGAGGAAAATATCAGTGTTAACAAAATGAATGAGGAATAAAACACAACCGAAACGCGTACACTTTTCAACAGATCTTGTATTTCTCATATATCTACTCCATAAGAAAATGAACGTAAACACTGTTGTCAAGATAAAGGAATAGAAAATAAGGGAAAGTTTAATACTTAACCAGTCGGTTCAAAACACCTTTTACGTAGAAAACACAAGTCAACTAGTTTAAAAACACAACTAAGCACAAGAGTCCTGTCACATTAGTTGTTCTGATGAGCCATAATAGGTTTTCAAAGCATTTCGACTGAATTTAACTTCTTGGTGATTTATAGATAAATGACACTAAAAGTGTCGATGATCGCTATTAACTTGCAGAGTATGGGTATGCCTCTAGTTTGTGCTCTGATAAGCATATTTAGATATCCTAATGCTACTAAGTAGACCAATATCCCTATCCATCGTCTATTAGGTGAAAATCAGGTGTCCGAGTTGATATTTTGTTGCTATTTTAGATAATTTAAATGGTTGTACCAATTAACTCAACAGAGAAACAACATCTTATCACAAGTTATATTACTTGATGAAGTTAAAGATACGCTTAACACAGTCGTTTTGACGAAAGATGCTTCTACTTTTTAAATAATAACTAGCAGCGCAACGAGATTTCAAAACTACCTATTTCCTTATCTTATGGATATCTAAAGTGAAAAAAATAGGGGAAAAATCAAATCACCACATATCAAGTGACCCATAACGGAAAACTCAGAGAAGCCTTTGAAGTGAAGACAGGAGTAAGACAAGACTGCTTACTATTAACGATGACATTCCAAACTGTACTGGACTGGATCATATGTCAGACTGTGGGGAGTGAGAAGACAGAAATACGCCGGACCGATAAGAAGACTCTAAAAGATCTGGATTTCGTAGATGATTTATGTTTAAGTCACACAACCTCGTAGATTTACAGGAAAAAACCAACAAGTTGTAAGAAGAAGCATCAAAAACAGGAATTCGAGTGAACTTAGAAAAGACCTAGGTGATGAAGATAACCAACTAACAACAACAATAAGCACCAATCACAATGATCGTAGTAAATCTGAAAGATGTCACCTCCTTTATTACTCTATGTAGCATCGTTTCAACTACAGGCGGTACGGATGAAGATGTTGAAGCGAAGATCTGACAGGTGAGGAAGATATTCAACACTACGAAATCTGCAATGTATACTTGTTTTTATTTTTTTGACCTCGTCCTGGCTGGCTTTGACATCCGTATCCGTGCCGCCTGTTGTTGAAACGATGCTGCCTAGCCAGGTAAATTAGAGACGACTACCTCTAGATTTCTTATATTCATATTGATTGGCGTATCACCTAGAGATAAATTCACCCGATGTTTTTATACCATTTCTTTTCACAACCTACTTTTAGTTCTAATTTTTTAGGGTCTCAGAAATTCCTCCGTCGTGCTTGTCCGCGTTCTACTACATACGTCTACAAAAGCTGAGAAGTGGTGCACATTTTGGCGACAGTAATGCAGTGAATGTATATCCATCTAGCTCTTGTGAATACTCTTGAAGGGTTATTGTTTCTCAGCAGAGATATGTTTCGTTGATTCCGTGAGGTCCACTAACAGCAAAAAAACTGTAGAACAAGGTTAGGATAGGAGTATAAAGGTGTGGTGGTGTGATATAGACAATGTGTGCCACCGAAATATTATTCTTACATATTCCCACAGCTCAAGTCGGCATTAGCAATAGAATACGATACATCTATTTAAATAGTCTAATTGATATTAGTCTCGGAATGTTATTCCCACAGTTCAATACTGCACACAATAAACATGTATGAACATTCTATTTGATATTAGAGACGAAATACATTAACCGCAGTTATATACTACATTAACAAAAGATTACTACGTATATTTGAACCTTTTATTTCATGTCCTTTAATGTAAACCAAAATCACACGTTCAGTGATTAGTTAAAGAATATAAACGGTAAATACATAAATAGCGGTTTGATCAATGAAAATTATATTTAGGATTCCGTGTCTTGCCTTCTGTTGTTACAAAGGTAGCACATAAAAAGTATCCTTTTCAACAAAGGAATACTGATTGATTGTTGATCATTTGATGAGTCTTTCGCCTTGGTCCTTATTCATTGTGTTTACCCCAAGTTGCTGATGCATTCACATCTGCTTTATTCTTCACACTAATTTGAAAGAAAGAGTGGTATTCTGATGATAAAGGTTCACTAACTGCTAATCTGTAACGCAGAATTGTGGTAAATGACGGGACATGAAACTTAAGGAGATAATAATCTAGGTGTGAATCTTCGGTACGCAATCAATTTCAAATTCAAAAGGGAACAACCAAACGATAACAGGCCCAATAAACACTATCCACTAAGTTGATTTTCACTACATGATTATGTCAAATAAGATTAAACAAATCACCGTAACAGAGGCAGCGACCTAATTAACATATCCGTTAATTGTAAATACTGTTAAAAACTTCTTAAATATATTTAGGAACAAAAGATAAATGCAATTCAGAAACTATACTGATGTGCCAGGCTTTTCAAATATTTTCAATATTCTTAAGGTAATATAAAACTGGTGCAACCCGTAACGCAGAATTTTCGTCAACCTGTTAGAAATAATTTATATCAGTGTTTAAACATAAAATCCACACCAAACTAAATAATAAATTCTTAAAATCAGTTGTAGGATATACATAGTATTTACTTATAATAAGTTAAAACTCACCTTCATGTGTGGGAAAGAGATTGAAATCACCGGCTATGATGAGATGCGTTCCACCTAATTGAAGAAACGAATTATAGTATTTGAACTGCGATTCTACTAAATTACATTAAGAAATATAATGATACCAGTATGCTCAAGTAAGAAAATTAACTGAACTCTCTTAAGTTAATGTTGAAGCTTAGATAATAAAAGCCCAAGATTTCAATTTCTTTCAGTGTTTCTTCCTTCATACTTTCTCAGCTAGTTGTTTATTTACATTATTTATATGGCTACTCTAATTTTTTTAAACAGCTGCATACTTGTTTTCATATTACCTACTGCCAAATTATTTACCGATCAGATATACGCGTACATTAGTGAGTACCAAGTCACTTCCGAAAATCTTTGTATTTATTCATTTGTCTCCCGAATGAAATATCGGGTTTCAAGGTTTAGGCTTTGAATTTTCAGTAGCGGCAGTATTACTTTTAAAGGAATGTTATCACTAGCCCCACATAAAATCTTCCTTCTTTTATAAGTTTACTATAGGCTAGAAAATTGGGTGAGGTTTAGAAGTGCGCCAACTGGGAATCGAACTTGACCAGAGGCATGGCTAGAGAGCACTATACTGTTAAATAACAGGGATGCGAAGATATTAGGCACTTATTTCGAGTTTGTGAACATTTAATTTGTGGGCTTGTAGATAACGCGTGCACGAGCTTAAACTAGAATCTCAATAATAAAGGCACAGTTAAGTTAAGCACTGTAATTAATCACATGTAACAGCCACGTCACATGATCCACTTATGAATAAGTCGTAGCAAGCAAGAGGTTATTTTTGAAATGCGTTTTATTATTTATTTCCTTTTGATTCCTGTGGACTTCGAGTGGAAAACACTTGTCAGAATACAAATGAGCAGAGATGATCTGATTCATCGCATTTCACACTCGACTTTCAAATAGTGAATCAAGAGTTCAGATTCACCTCCAGCTACTTCAGCTTATGTAGGATTACCAGTCCACACTATGAATGTGGCGCATACGATAGTATATGAATTACCTATACTGCATAACTGAATTCTAACAGGTTTTGAAGTGTTTGAACGTGAGGATTCGAATTTCTACTTCTGAATACTTGATTTCGATCACCCAGGTGACTTGGACAATAACTTCATTCATGAGTCACGTGCCTTCTACAGCAAGCAGATTAGGAACCTAACACAACCATGCTGATAATTACTTAACTTCTACAGACTCAATTATTATTGTTACTACGATAACTACCGTTATCACTATAACTTCCCAACGTTTCATGGAACTTAATCTTTGAAATATGAAGTATTATTCACTGTACGACTTCAGAATATATTCATCGAATATATATTATTTCAAGAAATCATCTGATAATAACGTTCTAACAAAAATTACTATCTTCCACTGAACATCTGCCGAGTTACCCATAAACATTATGAGGCATAAGTTGTGCGTTGAAAGGTATCAAACTAAAGAAGTAATACATACTGGTTATAGAGATGATTAGAATAATCACATTTACACATAACTTCTACCCTTCTATTTGTTCATACCGATTCATAAGCTGACACTGATCAAGAGCTACAAATAATTATCAGGGTAAATAAGTCATTCCTGACAAACTGTTCTTTACTCAGGGATTTCATACTACACCTGCTATCTTCAAAGAGAACGTGAATCGGAGGAAATCTATTTGTGTGACAAATGAGTATCGAACAAGTTTTTGATTACATAGTTTATTCCTTTAAAATCTATCACACAACGCATTATAGAGTGATTTGATAAGGTAACTACACAGCGAGTTTTGAGTTCCAAAATGAGAATGACCATGGAACATTTACAGTCAGATTGAATTACTAGTTGCACACGAGGAATGAACAAAACAGAACCAAAATCCACACATCCAACCCACAGAGATGTCTGAGGCAGAATGTCAAAAACAGTGTATTTTATGCTGTTCAACTAGTGAATGAACTACTGTACTCCAACGAGTCAAAAAGAAAAACAAAAAGGCATGTTACAAACGACTTACTGGGTTTGCTTTCCAAAAACGGAAACACACGTTTCCAAGTGAACTGATCATACGAATTCCCAAATTGTTTTCACTCGAACACTAAGCTTTTGTGGATGTGATATGTAAGCTAAAGTATATATGAAAGTTCGTTCTACAGATGAAAAACGTCCAAGCACAAAACCTCTACCATATAGTTAAAATTAACCGAGGCAGATTTCTTAAGTTAACGAGTAGTTTACCTTTCACAATTTTACAAGGCCTAAAGATATCACTAACCAGTCACTGTACCAAGCAGAAACAGTTATCAATCATAATGAACATTTAGGAAATAAATACGCTACAGCGTAAAAATATATTAGTTTGGAATATTCGTTACATCATGAGAATATTTCAAAACAAACAAACAAACAGAGGGGGTTAGAATTAGTAAGTTCAAACCAAAGACTGCTTAATAATAAAAAAAGTTAGGAAAAACTGGGTGTGAATGAAAGAAAATAGATACAAGAATCAAGTTATGGTATGTAACAAATACTCACTTGGTTGGGTCTCGTAAAAGGCTTGAACTAGATAACCGAGGGATTGAATTTCTGAAATAGTCTGCCCAACTTGACTATTTCGTAAACCACTTGCTTTTAAGTGCACTGAGATCAGAACCAATTTCGTGCTTTGAATCTGAAAGTTAGTGATACAAGTTTAATCTGTACTGTAATATAAACACTGATGTCACAAATATTCGATTGTTATCCCTCTCTATAAGCTTACAAATCACAACTCTGGTATAAACGAGGGAAACAGGTGTGAAGCAATTCCAACTCCGATATTTTGATTACAAAACATTCACCTGCATACTTGGAAACAATGATTATAATTTAGTAGGCTTAAAAGAATTAGGCATACACTGGCGTAAAAGCACTGAAATGAATTCTTACTCAACCCTCGGATCTGCAGTAAAGTTATTATGCCATTATTAATCAATTGTTTAGGCCTTTCAAATTAATGAGTTAAGAAAAAGATCGAGCTTTTTGGTCACTTAGATGTGACGAATGTCTAAATTACGATAGTGGAGAATATCAGTTTTGTTACTTACGTGACATGACGCTCCACAAGGACTACGTGTAAACGACTTTCTCAGCGTAGACCTTGGAGTTGAAGACTTTTCTAACAAACTTGTTCGAGAAATTCGTATACCGAGTGAAGAATTGTATAAAAACACAGCATACTCATTCCCACGGAACATAGACCCTGTGGGCTGAAGTGAACAAGACGCCTTCCAATTAGGAGTAATAACAGGAGAGTGTTTTCTAACCCATTCTTTTACGTGAGGAAGTGATGGACAGTTTAGCTCGGCACATAGCTAAAATGAAATAAATGTATGAGTTAAACAATCCTTAGAGTTTATACTGAGTTATGAATTAAATGGAGTGAGTTTATCTGGTGGAAGAAATCGCAACATGTACAAGATTTCGCAAGCTCCAAGTAATCACATGGATATTCTAATTACCTCCAAAACCAATGTGACATAAAATTTGAATTTTAAGTGTTAACTAGACAAACACAAATTGATAATAGGAAGACAAAGAAATGAAAGAAACTAAGCTAAAGATGAAGATAAAGTATGAATGAATTCGCCACACAGTGACGAATTCTGAGTCATAATCTTTTAGAATAACCCATCACAAACATCAGCAAAAGATGGTGCTGTATGTAGACTGCTCGATTGATTCCTTAGCTCAATAATCAATGATACCCTTAATTCGATCTTAAATTATGCCAAAGATCTTACGTTTCTAACAGAAGAAGGAATGTAGAGATTTTGTAAATTGATAATGAAAAGAAAAAAACGTGTGTGTGCATTTATCACAGACCTTAAGTAATTTTGAATATTCTACGCCATACATTAACTAACTGATTCAGGGACTTAGAATAAAGTTTTCTCAAAAATTTCCCGCACATATTTCCGTTTTTAAAATCACAAAGAGGAAGCTTCTTCTTATGCGGTTTTATTATTCGTTCTTTAATGTAAATTGTTTTCCTCTGATGAAATCGTAAGACTGTTGGCAAAATATCACACTGAATCAACGCTCTTACTGATTATAAGGCATATAATCGAGTGCTTTTGGCAAGCTGTTCAAAGAATAGAACATAATATACCGAGTTAAATTCCTTAACTTCATTCAGCATCCTCAGTGAAGAAAATGTGAGAGTTCCATATAAACCTTATTTAACAAACTAATAAAAGGGTACTTATAAGAAATCTTACCCGTCTGCAACTTATCACGTATTAAACTGGACAAAATTATAACTGAAGCACTGCCACTTGGATTTAAAATCCACGTGCTGAAGACACCGGAACATAAAATAAACTCACTTATTTTGGACTGCCTTTCTGATACAATTAAAAACAACTTTTGCTTACACATTCTACCACTTTTCCTACCACGATAACTATTTTGAATTCTATGTAATTTTTTCTGAATCATCTATTAAGTAACTATCTTTGAAGTTTTAAAACAGAACATATTCTCACACCAGTAATACATAAATGACACTGGCTGTCAAAGTCAATTCATAACTCACAAGAAATATTCGCTGTTGTCAATTAAAACATCATTTATTCAAAAAGCTAGAATTAATAATGTATACTTACGTGTTCACCAACTACAGGATCTGAAACTTCTTGGAGAAGTACCAGTGAGAAATTCGCCCGTAATATTGTTAAGCATACTACTTCCATATATCCTGGATGTTCAGCTTTACTTAAACCAAAACGATTGAGATTCCAAGACCCTATTCGAATTCGCTTCTCCACTGAGGAAATAGATGGTAGTGGTGGATCAAGTTCACTTAGGAGACCACATGAGTTCACTAAATTAAACCAATCACGTATTCCTTCCATTCTTAAAATTAACTGAATCTGAAAGTCAGAAAGTACATTTTGTTCACCATGAGTTCCACACTTTGAACATCGTAGAAGTCTATGGCTTGCAGGATGGGCGTCTGTTTCAAGAAGAGAATTTTCCATCCCTGAGTTTGTGTTCACCTTGTTAGAGTGTCTATTGTCAGTTTTTTCAAAAAATTAAAAAGTCTCATATCAATCACAGGAATTACTTACAAACTTTTAGGTAAGTCGTTTTGAAATATTAAGTAAAAACTCACATGATTATGCCATGACTAAATTCCTCAGGCGTTTTCTTTTCTACCATCTTATTTCTCAAACTTTCAACGAGAGACGCGCTGTCAAAATTTTTATCTAACGTAGACAAATAGACTTCTTGAATTATACAATTGATCTGTAAAGTGGTAAAAATGAGTATTCATGACATGTTAAACATACTGAAATCACAAGTAAACGTTATCACATAAAATCCGAGTGAAGTATATACGAACCACTGAACATTTCACTTACCGCATAATTCACATAAGAAGAAATTCAGCGCGGTCTAAGAATCCTTCCCATAAATCTGTACCGTTAAGTTTTATCAAGCGAATCACAACAAAATATAGGCCTTTAATAATAAATTTAGTAGGAAGATAACTGACTAGAAATGTTGCTGTGTGTGGGCGAATCTAAAAGACTGAACTATAGAGAGGATTAAATCACCTTACTACAATAGTTAGCTTTATTGCACGAACTTCGATCATACCCAGAAAGCTATTCACAGGTGAACAGATGAGAACTAATACATACAGTGACTCAATATCTTATATCAATAATAACCTGCTTGAAGTGACAAGGTCTGATTCTGTACTGCTGCTACATATCTCACCTCACGTTCTCTGAAAGCCACAGAAAAATACCAAATCACAGACTAATTCTAACTGATTTGTTAGAATCAGGTATTTTGAGATGAAATCTTGTAGATCTGGCGGTTTGAAAATATAGGGTAGCTAGAGATTGGTTTTTGTAACTAATCAGTTACTGAGACAGGCTTTTAACAGAAAAGAGCAGAAAGATTATAAAGTACCAAGATATATTTATGAAGTTGTCAGCTCTTAAAATACAGACACATATACCTGAGTTCTATCCTGACTTATAGCCACTAATTTAATTTATTGATTATATTTACTTACCCATTAGAGGATAAAAACAAAACTGAATGCGACTATTTTCATATGGGGTCCCAATAGTGACATGAATATCGGTCAGATAGTGTTCAGATTAAATAACTAACTACTAGGAGTGAAGTAATACTGAGGAACATTACCAATAACAAAACTTATCAGTGTGTGTAAAATATTGAAATATAATTATACTTTATTTGATCTAATCCACAATGCTCAAACTTTTTACTGATATTAATAATACTGAGGATTCAACAAAGATTAATAATATCAAAGTTTTCTTATTCAAGCCTGCAGCAATTTCAGAAGTGTGATTTTTCCCTTGTGTGAAGGAACAGTCAAAAAAGTATTCTGAAAATCATGTCTATCACTGCGTTCTACAAATTTGTAATGTTAGTGGTACAGTCAATGATAAACTGCGCACAAATGACTTCCAAGAAGATAGTGTGACAGAATCTAAGACGGTACTATGAACTAATTCACATTTTACAGGCTACTTTGAAGGTCTACGATATGTACAACAGAGAATCATTAACCATCCGTAAATTTCGATAAATAAACAAAACAACTACTTGAGTCGATCATCTTTATTTCTGTTCTTGTCTTAGTCTTTACTATCTGTGCACAATTAACAATGTGATGCAGATTTTTTAGTTTTTAGTTGTGGATAAAGTGAAATAATGCAAGATAGTCATTCAGCTGAGACAATCTGAGCAGAAAACTACTGTGCATCAGTTGGAAATTGCATATATGTGACAGTGTAAACGCTGAAAATGTAAAAAGCTTCACTGGATTTGCTTCGAAAATAACGAGATCGTTTAAATGTGAAGATGAAATCTGTTACCGTTAGTGAACATTAGTTTGTACCAAGGTATCACTGTACTTAAATAACAGATAAAGCGATAATTAGTAAATTCCATAATCTATAAATAATAGCAACAGCTAACAGTACAGAGAGAGGTAAAGCTAAAATCCTCAAAACGTCTGAAGTAGTTAAAAACTCTTATTAATATGACTATAAACCCTATCACAATACTGGCAACAATGGGAACGTAGCTCCTGACGCTTCCCTGCTGCCTTCCGGGTGAGCCTCAAAATCAAAGCCTAGGGGAATGATCTCTTAAGACAACCATTTCGTACTAACAGTGAAAATCATGAAGGAATTCAATCACACACACGAACAATGATGATACTTTTAGCAACGCGTTTCTTTTTGACCATAGACTTTTGGGCTTTATTTTTACTGACCTTGGTGTCTTCACCTTCGGCAGCCTCTCAGTGCCGTCTTCAGTTATCAACGAGCAGCCTTTAAAATGCTGGTCTGTCTGTCTGTTTTCGACATAGAACTTTGCATATATGTTCGGTAGTTCAAGTCGCCACACTCCATGTAGCACGCAAAGCAAGAGAAGAAAGTAGAAGAAATGCATAATAGAGACAGTAAACAGAGGTGTGAGACAAAGGAATAGTAATAACGAAGAACAATATAGTTTCATTGGAAATCATAAGTCACAAGAAGTGGGTGCATCTGCGCTATTGAGCCATATCATTGATATAATATAAAAAATGCTGGACCCCAGTGCGACAACTAGCACAGATATCCTAAGATGAAGTGTTGCGTCCAAGCCTGCCACCTACAATGTTCGGACACTCATGCAAATCGGACAACAGGCAGGTCTGGTATGAACATTGGGAAACGTCGATGTCTGCTACATTTCGGAGACCCGCACTCAAGATTCCAGTGAAGTGCTTCGAATATCTTTCTCCTCTGAAAGCTCAAATAGTATGTACCACCTGAGCTTATCCGGAGACCCCGTGACGTCGGCATCAGACACAGGGGGTGTTGTTGTACTGAGCGCTAGAGAAGAAGCTGCATTACTCAACTGGATACCCATTAACAGTCGTTTGTGTTGTGAGGCTGGAAGGTTATACGAGAGTACAAAGTGGTAGGTCAGATAGACGGTGTTTATTTGTTGTCTCTGTCAATGCCCCGACAAATTGCAGCCTAGATACAATTAGGGAGGAGTTTTACCGCAACATTATCGATCTCCTGAAACAGGTGCGTCATAGAGATATCGTAGAGCTGACTGGAGACTTGAGTGCACAGGTCGGAAGTTTAGATTCAGAAGAGAATTGTCTAGGTGGTTAGTAGGGATTACACGGTAGCAGGTCAGATAATGGGGACCGTGTTCTGCAGATTTGCTCATATCCCAACCTGTTTCGAGCAAGCACCAACTTCTGGTATAGCATTCGCCGTAGCGCCACCTGGTGTCCTTCCTCTTTCAGTCAAGTGTGAGCTGAATCATTTCAACGGAGAACTCTGCACAGATGTGCACCAGTTCGAGTCGCCAAACTCCATGTAGCACACAAAGCATGAGAAGAGAGATAATAAACAGAAATGTGAGGCGAAAATAGTAGTAATATGGAGGAACAATAGAATTTTACTGGATACTATAAATCACAATGAGTGGATGCATCTGTACCACTGAGAACGATTTTGAGCCACATCACTTGTCTGTCTGTCTGGATTCAACAGAGAACTTGGCACAGAAGTGCAGCAGTTCGAGTTGCCACGTTCCAAATAGCACACAAAGGTAGACAAGAAGATGAGTGAAGAGAATCCAAAGAGTTTGACAGGTATAAGAGTGAAACAGAATGGGTTATGGTAGAAAGAAATATGAAAGATTACAGAGACTGAATACATCTGCGCCATTGACAGCGATTTTGAGCCATGTCACCTATTGTCTCCAGCCATTGATTCCTAGAGTCCCGAGGGCCCCAACCCGGAAGTCTGCATCTCCCTATCTGACTCAGTTTAACTGTCAAGGATTTCATGGATTGATGCCATGTTTTTGGTTGGCCACCACTTACCCTTTTCCAACCTGCACCTATATCAGCTAGTAATGCCCGTCAGGGGAGGCGATGGTTAGGCATGTTCAGCACGTGACCTATCCATCTCAATCTGTGTAACTTTATAGCCTCGTCGATTGATTTTCCCTCTTTGCCCAACACTCTACGCCTAATGTCAACATTACTTACCTTCTTAAACCACCTAACGTGAGACAGGGATCGCAGACATCTATGATCGAAAGCAGTCAACCTTTTCATGTCTTCAACTCGTATTGGCCATGTTTCAGAGCCATAGAGAAGGACATAGCGAAGTGCTGAGCAGTACACACATCCCTTGGTTGATAACCGGATGTAACGCCTACGCCAGAGATGGTGTAAGTCAGCGAAAGCAGCTCAAGCTTTTTGGATCCGTGCTGAGATTTCGTCGCCAATCAGTCCGTTGGTGCTGATACAACTTCCCAAATAGGTGAAGTGGACAACATGTTCTATCACTTCACTCCCTATCAATAAGCTAGGAGTTTACGTAGTCCAGTCCTGTAGCAGCATCTTACATTTTACAGGGGCGAATCGCACGCCAAACATACGAAGATTGCTGCTTAAGGTGTTCAGAAGACTCTGCATTTTGTCAGCATCCTCCCCTAACACGACTATGTCATCTGCATATTCTAAGTCCATAAGACTATTCCCTAGTAACAGTCGATTCCTAAGTCGTTACGTTCAATTAAGGATACTTCCATTAGCATATCTATGATGAAGTTAAATAGGAATGGGGAAAGTGGACATCCCTGTCGGACGTCACCGGTTATCATCAATTCAGATGACAATTCCCCATAAGCCCTTACACGACTACGTGAGTTTGAATAGAGTGCTTTGATTAGTGCAATGTACTTTCTTGGCACTCCCTTCACAGTCGAACATTGCCATAGTACCTTTCGATCCACGGAATCGAAGGCCGCCTTCAAGTCAAGAAATATGGCAGTTGTTGGACGCCGAAAAGTGTGTCTATGTTCTAGAATCTGTCGAAGAGTGAAGATATGATCTATGCATCCTCTACCTGGTCTAAAGCCTGCTTGATTTTCTCTCGTTTGTTCCTCCCGAGTTCTGCTTAGTCTATGCATGATTACTGAGCCTAGGATTTTAGAAACTATCTTCGTTAGGCTGATCACCATATGATTATCACACGAGGACTTGTTTCCCTTCTTGAATATCAGTTTAATAAGTAACTTACCCCAGTCTGATGGAACCGTCTCTGATTCCCAGACTTCGCCTAGTACCCCAGTTAATCTACAAACTAGTATGTCACCCCTATATTTAAACACCTTCGGAATAATTCCGTCAGGTTCTGCCGCTTTGCCTCGTTTCAGATTACAATTAGCATTTG